ACTTCCCACCCTTACAAATTCTGAACTCATTTCCTTTATTTTGTGACTTTGGGTAGAAACCAACCAGCTCAACATTATGCTAAAAGCCTTGACAATGGAAAAACTTGAAGTACTCATGTCTACGATGGGTGTAATACATGAACCTGGCTTCTGCCTTGGATGATTTTGATAAAGACTGCTGGGTTAATTTGGGGGCCACCTGCACACACTGTGTGTATGGAACAAAGGGCACTCAGGGAAATCAGAGCACAGGACTAGAATGCCAGCCCCACTCAGCCACTGTGCTCTGGTGGCTATAAGTTTCAGGAATTGAGGCGGAGGGACCAACATTTCCTCTCCCAGAGGGTATGAGGGCCACATGGCAATTCAAGTGTGAAGGCCCTGAGTGCAGCACCAGCTTCCAATCAGGATTCTGCCAGGGATACTAAACTTCAGCCTGAGGGACCCCACGTGCTGCACATAGCTCTGGAGGCAGGGTGGACAGTGAGCTGAGGTGAAGAAACTGGAGGTGTCTGTGTTCGTACATAGTGATTCATGTCTGCTTTGCTCCTGCTGCTGCTACTTTCCTGTAACCAGTTTTACAGCCTGTCTTGGCAGCTGGAAGTATATGGGATTAATTTCACACTCGCTTTATGAGTTGAGCATTTTCCTGGGCCTCTGCCTCCTTCCTCTGGCATTACTGATACAGTGCTTGGACAGAGGTGTCCTTTGTGGTCTCTGTTTTATTTGGAAGCCTTCAGTTTGAAGAAGCAAAACAAAGGCCATCGACACATTATGCTTTAGGTTGTCAGCATTTATTGTTTCCTGCAGCCCCTCTCTGTGGCCTACTGAGCCCCCGGGAACACTCAGCCAGCCATGAGTCCTGGAAACCACTCTCCCCAAATCTTAGTCTTGGAGCCGGCGGCCTCACTGCTCAGTTCCAGATGAGCTTTGAGCCCTTGGAGGCTTTGGACACAAGATCTGCATCTTGATGGGCCTAGTGATTTCAGCTCCTTTTACTATGTTAATTCTGCTCAATTCATTTGCTCATGCAGAGCAAAGTAAACTTGGCTGTTACGTGTAAAACTAAACAGAGAACACGGAGATCTGTTTAGTTGTTTATGCTGGCCAGCAGGCCAAGAAGTCTTTCCTTGGGGGTAATTTACATAGGAATTAATTGTTTATCCCATTTCTTTCCAATTTCTGGGACCATTTGGGAGTAGCAGACAATTTCCACAATGGCACAGAAATACATCCAGCGAGACTGTGGCTCCCAGATGCATGAACTTTGGGCCTTGCTCAGGAAAGGTCCTGAGCCTTGGCCGCTGTCTCACTGAGTTGTTCTTGCACCACAGCTGTGTTGCGCGAGTTGGGTGGGTTCATTAGCTGACCCCCGGTTATACTTAGTGAGAGGTTTTCCCACTAGGAATGTGCATGAAAGCTTCCCTTAGGTCTAGATATTTACTCTGATCCCACAGCCACTTCAGGTGTCGGCTGCATCAAGAAACCCACACTTAGAACACTGTGGCTCCCCAGCGCCTGCCTCTCCCCCAGCACTGCACTGTGGCAGTCACGCAGGCTCCTTCATAGTCTCCTCAGTCCCTTCCCCAGTGGGATGTTTCCGCTTCCCCAGCAAGCAGCCTCCACTTTTCTGCTCTATGTGTGTTATTTCCTTCCCTTGTAAAGGCCTCTTGCCTACGGTGCGTGCTTTCAGATGCATTTCAGGCAGCCTCTTTCAGGGTGTGCTGGTTAGTATTCCACAGCAGGCTCTCTGATGGGTGAATAGGAAGGAGGCCCTGGTATTTGTTGATTTTCATGTATGAATACTTCTGAGTGGCTGATTCAGGCTGCCAACATGCAATCTCTGAGTGGTAAGAGCCCACCATTGCTAAGTATTGCCAATATGCAATTACATTAGGCATTAGTACAACCTCAGAGCCTACATAATAGTAGGAAGTACAGAGTTCTGAGTAATTATTACCTTTTTTATTAGTGTAACTTAGTTTTAGGTTTATGTAATCTAATCTTTAATAATGACTGTGTTTAACAACTGCCTCACATAATTCCTGAAAACTAAACAGTTGGTTCTTTCTCCCAAGCTGGGAGGGGCTGACCCAGCAAGCCGCTGCCCCTCCCTCCACCTCTCCTTCCTGAAGCCACACACCCTCAGCCTGTGGTGGGAGCACAACCATTCCTGAGCCTGCAGAGTGCTCACCATCTCACACGGGCTTTGGGTGAGACAGACTGAGTTTGAATCTTGTTCTCTGAACTCCTAGGTGTGAGGTCAGGCTGGCTGCTTGGTTTGTGGATCCTTATGCATGGTCTTTGGTAGAAAGACATGAACAAAGGGCAGCTAAAACAGAAAGTCTTTCCTTTCTTCAGTGGTCTCTTTCACAACTTCCAAAGGTATATTCCTGTTTTCTGTATGTCTTCCCAAGTAAGAACTACCTAAAAATTTTAAATATTAACATGGATTTTACCAGCACTCTATGTATGGTTAGTGGTGCTGTTAAATGCATGCGTAAAAGCCTGCAACTGCTGTAAAGGAATGAACTCATCTCTATGCATATCTGTGCACCATCATCCCATTGATTTAAATGTAAAACACAGGTTGAAACACAAAGTTATTAGGAATTTCAGGACAGAGACAGCGGAGCATTAAGCTGTACACAAGGCCCTTCGGAGTGCACAGTTCCTCATGTGAGCTGCTCCTTGGAGCCCTCATCTGTGAGACAGACGGTGATGACTGTGTCACCTGCAGGATCCAGGGTTGAAGACATTGATCAAGTGTGACTCAGCACAGGATGCCTGGGATACTCAATTATTTGGAGGCATTGCCCTAAAAGAATGATCATGACTTCATGAAATTCTCCTTTAGAGGCTCCAGGTCTTCCTTACAGGGTCACCATTTGTCTCCTTAACCCATTTTCCTTTCTCTGTTATGAACTCTTTGCAGGTAGAGTTTAGTTCAGTCACCTCCAAGTTCCCTATAATGGTTCCCACAAATTCTTGTACATACGTGGCACTCAGTAGGTGTTTATGACCTTTGTTTCTGAGTGATTTGGACTTTTTGACAATAAGCGTCTGTGTCAGTATGCTGACTCTACATGAGGCTTGTTAACATTTACAGGAAGAAAAAGCTTATGGAGTTAGACTTTCACAGAAATCTGTTATAATCACGGTGAGGTGGGGGAAGCTTATGACTCCACCTGTTTTGGTTTAAGGAAAGTGGCCATTCTCTGTCTCTTCAAGGGGACTTCTTGAATTAATGGGGAAGGAATGTGTTCCAAGCTCCATTTGAGTGGAAGAGCCTGAGGGATATTAACTCTGACCCACAGTGATCTGTCCCTCTGCTAACTGCTTTTACACTGGTTTTCTGTTCTGCTTAAATAGGACATTGTTACAGTATTGTTTCTCTCTACTAATTGGTTGTGTGCATAAGTTTTCTTTCCAGCAAATTGTGAGAGTCTGTGGCTGTATACTATCTCAGTCTATTTTTCTTGGACCCCAGTGGAAAGCACAGTCTGGACACATGGTCAACCCTGAACTTTATGCTGTGCTATCCTGGGTCAAACTCCCTGGCTCTCTGCTTGCCTCATAACAGAGTCTTCTGTGCCTGCAGCCAAGTAGCAGAGGCCTGCTGATTAGGATGGCAGGTGAGGGCCTTTGGTGTGCTCTTTCCCAGAGTCTCTCAGATACTCAGAGGACCATCCCTGTACTGCCCTCTCCCCACAGGGAGCTCGAGAGACCACACAGCTATGGCCTTGACTGGTTGGAAAGATGATTTGTTAACAAGCCCTTTGGGCCTCTGTCAAGTGAGCCATGAAATATCACCAGGCGGATTCATCCATCCCATCTCAGCTCTGGCCTGTGAGCTGGCAGAGACTTACAGAAAGGACTCACTGCCTGGCCTTGCCTGTTCCTGTTCTGTGGACGTCATACATACAGAGCCGCTGTGGCAGGCAGTTCATTACTTTTAATGAGCACAAAATTCACCAAGACATTACAGTAAAACACCAGTGGGCAACCATGGATTTTCCATCCAATTGTTACTTCACTTCTCTTTTTCCATGGGGTTATTCAAAAGGATAAAAAATAAAAATAAAAAATAAAGCAAATTCTATTCAATCCTGCCAATTTTTATCCTTAGTTGATTTGGCATTGTAAAGCTAGCACACCCTGACTTTCAGTTTCCTGTGGACTGGTGCCTGACATTTGTGTTAAAAATGACATTACCTAGCTGGACAAATGTGTAAAAATTATCTATCTTTTAGGTATAAGAAATATTAGATATCTATCATGTAACATGTAAATGCTAACATCAGAATAAGACAGATATTTTCTGAAAAGGTTATAATGAACTCAGAATTTTGAACTATAGGCAAGTGCAGCCTTTTATTTATTTATTTATTTTTGTTCAGGGTCTCAGTAACAGCACAGACTCAGTGAGCCTCCTGTTTTCAACCCTCCCAGTGCTGGGATTACCAGCATAGGCCCCCATGCCTGGACTTGGTCACTGGCTCAGTTTCCCCGGGGGCGGGGGCAGTGCAGCACATGGTGCCAGGGATTAAACTCCAGTCCCTGTGCTTGCGTAAGCAGACACTTAATCTGCTGAGCTATCTCGCCAGCTTTAAATGTAGTCATTTTCATGGGAATGTCTAATTGATCATTCTCCATGGCTGGTGATAAAGACTGTTATAACTTTATTAGCAGTTACTTATACCACCATAGACTGAAGAAGGTCACTTGATTGTGCAGCAGACACGGAACAATGTCTTCATTAGGCTGATTTCATGGATATTTTCATCTCCTGGCCATATGCATTTGGTATTAGTTTGGAGAGTTTTTGAGAAGGTGGAAATGAGATGAATGATACATTTTTTATTACTCGCTATCACTTATGTTTGTGGAAGACAGTTCATCAAGTTGCTTTACAGAAAAAAAAGAGGTGTGTCAAATGTGACTTGTTGAAGGCTTAACAGCGGTGAATTATCCCTTACTGCATTTTGTTGTCTCTGCAGGTGATTGCTCTGGCAGAAGCAGTGGAGGAAAACCAAGCCAATGTGTTCCAGGCATTTGCCAGACTGAAAAGTGCCACCCACTTGATGATTCTGCTGATTGGGCTGTGGCAGAAGCTCAGTGCTGACCAGGTCGCTATCCTGGAAGCAGCATTTCTGCCACTACAGGATGACCCACAAGAGTTGGTAAGAACCTACAGGCTTGCCTTGGGAGCAGCTGGTGTTGTTGAAGAGATTTTGATTTTGGGACAATACCACATAGCTGCCTGTGTTTTCTAGGGTATCACATGAATGCTTCCTTTTCTCTCAGCCACCATAAAATGTCACATGAAGGCCTTTTTTTTTTTTCCAGAGATCTCTTAAAAATAGGTATGAATAGTGCATTTTTATGTGGTGTCCAGTCTGGTCTTTATGTCCTCTGCTGTCACTCACCAACCAGGGAAGCAGTGTTGACAGCAGGAGTGGTAGCAGCAAACCTTCAGATTAGCTGGTCCCTCCTGTTCCACCTGAAAAAAGTTAGTCATTGTAATCTGCTCAGTGTTGTTACATTTAAGGGTCACTGCAAGGGTCAGAGAGAACTGAGATCACCTTGATAACAATGGTGGGGATGGTTCCTTACTTTTATAGAGTGCTTTGTGATAGTTTAAAACTCTACATTCAACCCTAGAGCAGGCAGTTTAGAATAAAAAGAGAAAAATGAGGGGGTATTTGGATTTTTTTCATGAGAGGATTATTTAAATAAAACCTTCATAGATCTCTTGAGTCACAGAGATGTAGATAGTCACCAAGTGCTACTCTGGATTTTTTTTTGTATGCTTTGTTTATGAAGAAATAATATAGATCTTTGCAAATTACAGACCCTTGAACTTAGATTTTGTACTAGAGGAAACCATTTCAAGGGGCAAAAGTGTTTTAAATCTATTTTTAAAGCAAATATGAGAACATGGTACTAAAAATAATAGTATTAAATAGTACATTTTTCAAGTGCTTAACAGGACTATTTTTATTGTTTCACAAGAATTATCTCATTTAATCTTAAGTAGTTAAGATACAGTTCTGATTTCGTCCCCATTTGCACATGGAAGAATTTAGACTCTGGCAGTTGAGTGTAGTAGTAGAGCCAGGATTCAGACTGAATAATGTCTCCCTCAAAATCACATGTTTTTAACCAGTGCAACAAATTTTAGTGAACAAAGTCATCAATGTAGTTTGGAAATGTGTAAGTTTTGTCAGTCAAATCACATTTTCTACAGTTAGGTCAAAGGATTGTCAAATGATCAAAAAAACCCCCAACAAAACAAAACAAAACAAAACAAAACAAAACAAAACAAAACAACATGTTTTGCACCCTAAATAAAAAATAAATAAACTAAAAAAAATTGGAGCATATACATGTTTAGTGGTAAATAATGAGTTACTAGGAGATTTATAAAATATAATTACACTTTTGACTGTTGAGAAGCTGAACATAGATGCTGCAACATAAAAAAAAGATACAGAATGCAGTGGTTAGAATTAAAAGTGGTTGATAAAAGTGAATGATATTGGCTGGGTTTATAGCTCAGTGGCACAGCACCCACCTGGCAAGCACAGGGTCCTGAATTTGATTCCTGGTCCCCTGCCCACCACACAAAAAAAAAAAAAAAAAAAAAAAAAAAAAAAAAAAAAA